TAAAGACTTTCAATGAATTACTCGAATTCACCTCCATCTCCATCTACCAGTCTGCAAATTCTTACATTCCGAGTTCTTTCCACAGCCCGCCATCTAGAAAGTCTGCATGCACCCAACTCCCGAAATTGTCTACGAGATGAAAGTAACTCCAACTTCAAGCATCCCAGCTTTCCAACAAGAAACAAATTCGATACTGACCATTTACCCACCCACTTAAAATCTACAAATGTTCTGGCCATCTAAACACCGTGCCTATCCATCCATCAAACATCAACACCCAGATCATTGTCTCATCATCATGCACCATACTCACAGTCATCGTATTCTTATTCCCGCGCACGTTGATCCCTCAGAGTTCTCCTCTTCTCCCAGGATATCCCCTCTAAAATATCTCGACCTGCACTGCCACAATCGCCAGGTGTCTAGTCTATACACTAAAACACGTGATAATTGCAACCTCCAATTTCCAAATACTACCGAAACCTGGCGTCTCGACAGATTGACGAATGGAACTCAGCCTTGTGGAGTATCTTGAGGTCTGGACTGTCTTGGTTTCGTCATTGTTCAGATGAATCGTTGAGGGTCTCGATGTGGATTCCCGGTATATATAGATTTTTCACCATTCGGAGAATTCTATACTCCGTATTTCGTAATGCATGTGATATTGCGTCTGGCTGTTGGATCATGGTGGATCTAAAACGAATCTGAGGCGGCGGGATCTAAAAGCTCCGTCATTGTGAATGATAGTTAACTGTACGAGAAGTAAGGACTAGTCAAACTTCTCAAATTTCATAATTCGGAGGGCGTGGAGCTTGGTGAGTAATATGATAAAAGTCAATAGTAATAGCAGGCTGACTAGAGCTGCAGCAGGACTATCCTTTCATTTGAAATTCGAAATTGCACCATCCTTGTACGAGCCATTGCCAAATGCCGTGCATCGTTGTATGGGGGTACCGACTCATCCGCATATGTTGTGAACAATATCCCCGCGTACCCGAGCTACCAACTCATCGTCACTTATCAAATAGAACTCATCATATTTGAGAATAATCCCACCCGTCAAGCAAACAGCTATCCACCTACATCGGGATAACCCTTATCTTCTTCATCTATTCTTTCACTTGGCAATTGGAGCTGAGTACTGGCCAAGCAAATGCCAAATAGACTTCTCAGCCATCTGTGTAACGTAAGACAAACTCACGAGCTGAGTTGTTCATCCAGCCCTATGGATCGATCAATCCAACCCCCACAATTCGAAGTAAGCCGAGAAGCCAAAACAGCCAACCCTTAACGTTGTGTACATCAGATTTTCTTCCTTTCCTTTTTTTCTTCCCGCTTTCTCCACCAAATGAAAAGTACACGCATGTATTACGAAGATCATGGCGGGATCACTTGTTCACGCCAGCCCCAGATAATTGAACCACGATTTTGAGTGCATACTCTGATTCCGAAGATGAGTGCATTTATGCAGGTGAGTAGTATGTTTCACCAAGGACTATGTTGCACAACAAGAGCTTCAACTTTGAAGATCGAGAGAGAATTGAAGTTTAGCATCCGTTGTAGGAAATCGAAGATCGAGTTAATGAAATGAATACAAGGTTATCACCATCCACTCTTTCGACCCACGGAAGTCTGTCGTAAGTTGTAACTCGCAAGACGAACTTCTTTTCCCAAAGTGATTTTGCGTGAAGACCTAGTCAGGATATGAAGATCTAGAATGTCCAGAATCGTGTAGTATCGGCAGAACCATCTCCATTCTAAATATTAAAGTCCATAAATTTATTTGAAAGCAGAAACTTTGATCAATTAGTGACACGGTGAAAGTTCTGAAACAAGGATGCAACAGCCAATTGGAGCAACACACTCCAAACACATGTGCGATCATCCAGCGATATTTTGATTTGCTGTGAGAGATTTTTTTCTAATCGGTCAGACAAAAAAGGATGGACGAGGATGGGCGAGGATGGATGAGAATTGAGGATGCATTATCCGGATAAATTGCGGGTCATTTAGTTTAAGAAAGAAGGCATGAGAGAGTTCTTGAATGACTCCCCCACGTATATCCATATCTCTTAGCTAAATGATAAGTAATTGTGCTTGTGCTTGTGCCTAGAATTAGAAATAGAGTTTGAATTATGCCTAGGCTTCAAGTTGTAGATTATGGAGACAAAAAATGTTGGAGATGGAGAAAGTAACCGTCGATGCCTTGACCATATCGTGGAACGTGAGAGATTTATGGATACAAAGTCGATGCGGAGATATCTAGGTACGGCTCAAACGGAGGAGGGTTTTGATGAAGAAACGAGAAAGCTTCCATGGAAGAAGAAGAGGAAGATGGTCGTAGCTGCACATGCACATGGAAATGTAATGTAAATGCAAGTTGTAAGATTCTTGACATCCGATAACAGATTTCGGATGCTTTTTAATGGGGGTCGACGATGGATGGAAATGTACTGAGTCGGCTATGAAAATCTTGGTACCAAAATGGAAGGACCAAAATGAAGAAAATGAAGAAAATGGTTCGACAACACCGCGTACAACGGTTTCTGTAAGCACCAGCCAAGGATGACGGAAGTGGCTGCAGCTTGCCATATCGTTGTGCCTGCATGTTGTTTAACCTTTGACTTTTGCTTGGTCTGATTCATGAATGAATGTGCGTGGAACAGATTGAGGGGAACCTTGGGCGGAAGGGGGGGGGGGAGGTGGAATCACATCTAGTGCCAATTTTTGGATAAAGTGTCCGGAAGAGGCATGTCAAAAGTTAAAAGGGAGGAAGTGGAGATGGATGAGACAAGATGATGGTATCATGGTGTGGTCGTGGTATGGTCATGGTATGGTCTCAAATGCAATCAAGACACTGTTGCATATGCAGTGGCGGTAAACAATGGAACTCTCAGGGTGTCTCGGTTCACGAGCTTTGAGAGGTCGTTGAGATTTCCTGTTTACATCATGATTTGATTCACATCGGAACTTTGTACATCGTACATCGTAGAAACCTGCGCGTATGACACGCTGCGCGTTACGAAAAAGTCATTGGGGGAATAGGTTCGTTGACTCTATTGGTATCAAAAGATGGAGAAAGGATTGGGTAGGAAGGGTTCAAAGGGTTCAAACGGTCGAGGCCGACAGATTGAAAGCATTTGGTTGGATCTGTCTGTCATGGACTCATGGACTCGTGGTGTTGCAAAGGGACTTGAGGGAGTGGGGAACCACCCCCGTCCCTTCATTTTGAGTGGAGCGATTGATTATCTCTCCTGGAAGTCTTGGACTCTTGGACTCTTGGACTCTTGGACTCTTGGACTCTTGCTTTGGGATAATCCGCGATCTCAATTTAGGAAATCCGAGAGTTCCATCAAGTGGGGGTCACGGTCTTGATGGATCATAAAGCGGGTACGAGATATTCTAGAATCTGACTCCAAATCTATAAGATTATCCAGTCAGATCTTAGAGAACGGACACATTTATGGAACAGTGGGAAAACATTACTCACCAGTAGAAAAGCGAAAAATTCAATTGTGCAAAAAGCGTCGCAGGCATTTATTAGCATGTGGATTGTGGTATACGAACACTGCGCAGTATTATTCTTATTATAGCTCCGCTGTGATGTGTTGTAATGATTTACCAGAGGGCCAAAGAACCACCAAGGGCCAGAACGGATAAAGTGAATACGTTTACTACCTACGAAGGTAGCTAGTGACGACCCCGATGATGCCAAGATGAATGATTGATTTGATCTTGTGGGATGAATAATGTAATGAAGGGAAGACTAATCCAATCTAGAGACCTGGGTACGTACTTGATACACAATGCCCATTCTCTAATTTCTAATACCACACACATCATGCACCAGCTAAATGGTATCATTCCCACGTTGAAAAAGACAATTTGCATGAAAAGTTACAACATCAACCTACATCCACTGTACATATCATACATATTCTCAAACACAGGCATCACGGAATTCCACAGTTCTACGTTGACAACCTTAAGCGATTCTTCCGGAAGGGCAGGCTAGAGTAACCACGGTCCACGCCTTCCACTGCACTTGAGCGGTCAAGAAGAGCCAGACTTGTCTACGGAGCAAAGAAGAGGGCATCGTACCCTGACAAAACTCTAAAAGGTAGTAGGATTCAAGACAAAACGTTTGTGCGTACGTATTGTGGATAGAGATTCAGAGTTCAAAGGGCATGGAAAGTTAGAGCAGTACAAAGCATCAAGCATCAAGCACGCCAACACAGTCACTATAGGATCCAGTTACCATAGGATCCAGTTGGACATATCAAGTCATCACCGATTGCGAGACCATTCATGGATAGATGCCATCGATGCTTTCTCAACAAATATCATACTTTGACGGGACCATATCATATTGTAACCTTAACCACACTGTACTGTACATAGCATCTCGTACCATGGTTAGACAATGATAAAGAATATCTCGCCATGCAAATAGTTCCCGTGTAACCTTTTAATAATTGTCTACCTACTTGCTCACGAAGAGATCTTTTTCTTTGACTACCGATTATTCCTTTTCTCCTTTTTTCTTTTTCTTTGACTACCGAGACCAGTTCCCAAAGTCCAAGGGTCAACAAAGAGATCTCAGAGCTCAAAGATCATCCAAGACTTCCAGGTTACTACTCGAAGCGTACACCCCAATTGATACTTCCCGCTTCAGTTAATCCATAAGATCTTCCCTCTTTTTTTTTCCCCAACCGACCAGTCAATACAATCCTTTCAAGGGTCTCCCACAAGCCATTCAAACTAGTCAAACCAACAATCCTATTGGGTGGTCAGCGTTTACGAGGGAGGGGAGAATACTCCGTCCCAGCCAAAGATACAATTGGAACGAAGCACGCAATATCTTTTTCGACGATAATCTTCAATTATTGTTATTATTATTGTTGTTATTATTATTATTATTATTATTCTTATTCTTCTTCTTATTCTTATTCTTAAATTTCCCCTCGAATTCTTATTATATACAATAACCCTCTCCCTCTCCCTCTCCCTCTCCGTCTTCGATTTCATAAAGCCCATTCACTCTATCTTTCGCTATCGTATTTTCCGGATCCCGAACAAACATTTAATTTTCTGGTCGGAATAGAAGGAATTGATAAATCACATTCAATCCCCATTTCCCCCGCCAGAATTTATCTATCCCGCACAGCAAACACCTTGTGAAGATATTGGTCAATTCATCTTGTCCAATATAACAAATCATATCAATTTACCGATATATATTATTACTGGATCAAACTCTTCCATCCTGTGTTCCACCTCCGTATCGACAATATTTCACTCCCTTCCATCCCTTCCATCCCACTCTTCCGATTTCGCCAATTAATTTCCTGCGGGAGTCATATCGGTAGAAATATTAATCTCTTAATCTCTTATCAGCACGGATTCACAAATTCACGATATACTAGTACGAGGCATCTATCTACAGTACCTAGGACCGTCGCATCTAGTATTTACCTAGAGGCTAGAGTCTAGCACCGGGTATCTAGTTTCCATCTACCTAGTCCAACCCACTCCACTATTATTACTATTACAATAAAAAGATCATTCATAGAGTCACATCTCAAGAATCTTTCTAATCGCCAATCGAGAATAAATAAAAAGAAAATCCAATCCTTGATTTTATCTTATTTTATTTTTCTTCGCATCATTTCATCACATCATCATTGATCTCATCCATTTGATCTTACTCACCTGGACCGTTCTAATTCACCATCACGAGAAACATTCACAAGACCGAGATCAACCGGGGAAGCATCCATCCTGAGAACTTATCTACCACATATAAGATACCAAGATTTATTTTACATTCACATACAACCAACAATTTACATCGAACATCTTCTACAACTTTCTCCTCTCTGATATCCTATAAACCTCAAGGATTGTCTCCATATATCTAAAGGAAGAATACATCTTCCCAACTGCCAAAATGGCACACTCAACAAGACCATCCGCATCCCGAACACACACTGCTCCTTCACTTGCTATCTCTCCAAGAACAAGCTCCGAAAAGAACACTGAGAAGAAGTCCAACCACGTACGCAGAAAGTCAGGAAAGGAATTTGCGGTAGTAGCGGAAAAGAGAACTAGTCGACCTACAACTTTACACAGAAGGACTACACCGCAAGTTATTACCAAGGCTGCCAGAAGTAAGGAGAGAGAAAGTCAATACGTGGAGAAAGATAACGGGGAGAGCTTTCCACAGTTCTGGTAAGTTTAACTCGATTGTCAGATGATGACGACGCCTAGCATTGGGAAAAGGCGGGGTGCATAATGGTGGCTGATCCGAGACTGACGATTCATTACAGCATGACTTGCGAAAAGCAATTTACACCACCAAACAATACCTTTCTCTATTGTTCTGAACAGTGAGTATCATCTAATGTCTACAATTTACATGAAAAATGTCACTAACAAGATTTATAGATGTCGTGTTCATGATCAAGCACCAACATACACTTCTCGATCGAACCCATATGCAACTGCACCAAACTCTCCACCCTTGACCCCATTCTTGTCAAGTGCAACTTTATACTCACCGGAAGAACCTCGAGATATTGTACCGCGACTCTCTCCTACACAATCTAGACCTCGATCATACTTCAACTCATCGCCATATCCAACCGATATCTCCGTCTCATACCACGTACCCTCCTCATCCCTCCCAGCATCGCACTTCCATACTTCATCCCAAGCCGATACACATTCATCAAGTGCCTTGGAAAGCTTGAGAGAGTTAGCCACAGCGCTACCTCGAACACATCAACCCCAGGAACCAGAATCTCCACCGACTACTACACTTTCGAGGACATCTTCTCAAGTCTGGAACTACATGCCATTCACAACCAAAACCACAACACCTACACCCCTTGCCACACCAGGAAACTCATATTCCAACACCGCCAGCAGCTATTCCGCTCGTCGAAGCCGAGAAGACTTATATGCTTTCGGGGCTGGCCAAACATTTACCAGCACCGGGGGTATGGGTATGGATCGTCCCTTGCCACCTCGAAGCGGTCCAGGTGGTTACGGACACCGACCTAGAAGCATCGATCTGGTCACACCATTTACACCTGGTGTTTAAGCTGCGATGAAAGAAAGAGAAGCAAAGCTCGAAAAGAGCATATTATGCATTATTTGAGTTTGTTATAGATATTTGAATCTCCAAGCATTGCGAGCATTACATTATCGTTGTAGATATAGGATTAGGATGAAATAGGAATATTGGAATTGGTATGGGCATTCGGCATACGCACGCGAGCATCATAGATGGCTAGCAAGGAAATTTGTGAAGGAGTTAATCATGGAATCTAAAAAATGGGAAGGGCAATTTACATGCATAATGCATTATGGGTATAAGAAAAGGATAGGATGGAATGGTATGGAATGGAATGGGTAAATGCTTGGGATTAGATGAGAGTCTGCAATGGCTTTACATCGCGCTTTAGTTAAAAATATATATACATACACACCTCTAACCAATTATCTTAATGCTTGAATTTGATTGATTTCGTGCAGTAATCTCTTGGGATTATGATTTATCGAGACTTGGTCTGTATTTTATGCGAACTTTGACGCATCGATGGTAGGGCATCGCATCGCATCGCAGCTTTTGGATCTCGAATCTCGAATCTTGAATCTGGATTCTCATACAGGTTTATGGCTCTTTGGGCTGTTTCGTCCCATGCTAGATATCCAATATAATCTGATTTGTTTCATTCATTCACTCATTCATTCGTGTGGTAGGTACGGTACCTAAATATGTAAGTATGAAAGATTCTCTATCAACCTCCCCCATCACATCACATCCCATCACGTTTCCACAAAACCACAAAACCAAACCCAACCCAGCACGTGCAGAAACGGGAAGTCCCGACGTGTACTAGGTATGTAAGTAACCGAGATATCGTACGTGGTGGGGTTTGTTTCATATATTTATTTCTATTTTATATTTTGTATCTATATTATAAGTTTCGTCTCGAATTTGGAATTCTCAATTCTGAATTCTCAATTCTCAATTGACGAGGCATAAAACTATTTGACGGGGAGATATTGGGTTTGGTGTTGGTACGAAGTGTGCTTGCTGGTGTTCTGTGAAATCTGTGGTGTGATTTGATTTGGTTTGATTTGTTGAAGTGTGTTTGTTGAGGATTTGAGGGATTAAGTTGGGGTTCTATTCACTTATTGTGTGAGAGATTGGGATTGAAAAGGGAAAGGGAAAGGTGCAAAAATGAAGTCGGAATTTATAACGAATGATGGTGTAGCTATTGCGTATAGCGATACGGATGTTCAGAATGAGGGGGGATTGGAGTGTTTGATTCTTGTGAATCCCGTACTCTTGCTGATACTTACTCATGTAGCTAACAAATCACACAGTTGCATGGCTTTACTGGTTCCAAAGATGTTTGGCAAAAGAATGTAGATGCTCTACGCAAAACATACCGTGTTATTGTACCGGATCTGAGAGGTCATGGAGCCAGCCAGAAACCAAAACATGGATATCATGTTAGTCGTCTCGCGATGGATTTGCATGAGCTCACGCAGCATATCATCTATTCATCGGCTACCGGCCAAAAGGGTCCTCGAGGAGACAAAAAGTTCCTTGCGATTGGTGGGAGTCTCGGATGTGCCATCCTATGGAGTTATGCTGAACTTTTTGGAACGAGCTTGTTCAGAAAAATGGTCTTTGTGGATCAGAGTCCGCTTCAGAATTCGACCTTGGATGGCTGGGATAGCCGTTTTTGTAATCGTGGTATGAATAATCCGTGGGCGATCGCTTCTCTTCAGAAAACTCTGGAATTGGCGCCGGAAATTGCTCATCGGGGAACTATTGCTGCTTGTTTGGGATACCGATATGCACCGATTGAATCGGAGAAAGGAGTTAGGTCCCAGGAGGAAATGGATGATGATGAAGCATTTTTCTTGGGAGAGGCACTCAAGGGAGATGGGAGATGGTTGGGGAAACTCATGGAGGATCATACATCTAAAGATTGGAGAGATAGTATTCGTGCTTGTTTCGGACCGGAGAGTGGGAGTGAGACAAAGATTTTAGTTGTGGGTAGTAGCAGGAGCGGATGTTTTCCTGCAGAAGGTGTATTGAAGATTGTGGAGTTTGTGAATGGCGGAGTCGAAGCCAATAGGAAGGCACGAGGTGTAGTAGTTAACTGGGGTGGTCACTGGTGTTATTGGGAGGACGCGGATAAGTTTAATACCCTGGTATTGGAATTCCTAGGAGAGAATTAAAGGATGAATGAGGAAGGTACGAATGAATGAATATAGCAAAATGGAAGGAGCAGATTGCATGAAAGGAAATCACATATTCAGTCCAGCAGTTGTCCCAAGAGTTTTCGACAATCTAAAGGTATTCGATTGTCAAATCCGATTCAACAATTATGATACTTTCAATATTCTGAACAATTCCAACAATTGAGATACGTCCAATGTTCCAAACGATTCCAATCATTGAGCCACTCACTTTTGAGGTCGATCAGATACTGGGTGGGCGTGGCTTTCTGGGGAATGGTTCATTGGAATGCCAGGCATCGCTAGTGCGCGAGCTAGTATCTTGACGATATCCATTGCGGTCTTGGGTTTGTTTACCTATTTCTTTCTTTCTTTCTTTCTGTTTTTCTTTTGATGATTTTTGATGATATCAACAATATCAATGACATTAACAACAACATATTCAATCATCACAAGCATTCTCAACAGTATCACCAACTCAACAGGTCAATATGGATATCTGGGTACTCATATCTCAACTCTCCAGTGAATAGATTGCCAAAAAAACATCACTCCACCACATACGACCATAGACTGAAGAGAATTGGGCATCCCGTCCGCTCTGCCATACACAAGCTTCAGATCGGTGGATTAGTAGTTGGGTGGGTGACCACCAGCGAATCCCCACTGTTGTATGTTTTTTTGTCATTTTGTTTTTGTCGATTTGTATACCGAGAACATACCGAATATCTGTCAATATCAAGATGGGAAAGTGAGTTCTTATTGTCCATCTATTCATTCATCCATACCACTTCACCTTATTTATCTCCTCATTTGGTTCTTGGTTTTGAATAGAGTTCTCGGGCTTTGATAAGATCGATGGACTTAAATCTCTCTCATGATCTACTGTTTTTCTTTACTTCTTCAGTCTCGAGATATGGAATACAATTTTGTCTCCAGCAACTAATATATCATAAACTCGCAGATGAAAAACCACACATCTTCGACTCGGATAAACAACTCAGTCATCGACCTGATCTTGAAACTTTCTGAGATACCTGAAGGATCTTGAGAGAGGTGGGATAGATGCACTTGAGTGCAAAGCACATATGCAACCACACATGTGCTGGTATTGGGAAAATATGTGGTGGAGTGAGAGCCTTTCCTTCTTAGGGCGCTGATGTTCGACATCTTGCTTCGCGGTCGCCATGGCTTTTCAGTCCTGCTTTAGATGGTTCAGAGCTGTTTCCACGCCTGCCTCCCCAGGCTTCAGCCTCGCCATAACTCTCTCAGTCCTGCTTTAGATAGTTCAGAGCTATTTCTGCCCCGCTTCCTGGCCACAAGCCGCCACCCCCGGCTTCCGTCTCGCTCTCGTGGTTCCGGTGGTCGCTCGAAGAGCGTTCCACATTGCCCCGGTCGTGGGCCTCTTGATTTTTTGGTTCCGCCGCGGCTTGCGCTCGCTGAGCAAATTTTTGGTCCGATTCGGTGTTCCCCTTTTAAGGGTTTTTTGGTTACCTTTTGGAATCCTTTTTGGCTGGATCCACAGGATGTTTTTTGGGCAGAAGTATTTTTCTCCTATAACAATATTTGTGGAATGACAGCTAATCATATATAGAAAATCGGACAGACATGTCCGAATTGCGTTTTATGTTGGTTTGGTGGCTGCCTTCGGCTAACCACTATTTACGCGGGTATTTATCCACAACTTCCAAAAGAGAAAATTTACACACTTCTGACGTAGTCTAGCGTTCAAGTAGCGAGTGAAATGAGGTCAGACGAGATGGAGTGCAGATTTGCTTCGGGGAACGATACTCGTTACATATATGGCCTATCTGGTCTATCATACCAGTTCTTACTGTTCTTTTCTGGAGGTATAAAACCTCCTGTGGTATTAAGCATGGGCGCTTAGGAGATTAGAGATATACCAGAGCGGTAATAAATATGTATAAACGGGGCTTGCGCCATTTGTGTTATATGTAATCGCGCATGAATTCAAGTGACTACCTAGTTGAAAACCCCAAATATTAGCCGGTGATGTTGTATGTAGGAAACGACGAATATATATGAGGTGAATGAGCATGAAAACGAAACAAAACCAGTAGTTCCATGCCATCTCTGCAGTTGATTAGACTATACATACATCGAGTTTCTTGTTCACGGACAATAGAAAGGATGCTAGTAGGATCTTACTTCATTCTCTTCCAGTGTTATAATTAGTATTTTCCATATTTCAATTACACCCCACTTTAGTGATATTTATCAATATTCATAAAAATATTTCAGTAATTATTATTGAATTCTGTATCACTAAAAATATTAAATATTCTAACAATATTGAATATTACTAGTATAGTCTCTTTCGTATAATACGTACGAACGTAGATATCATTGGCTTTTATACGCACTAGCGTACGTATTATACGCTCTATATCAGCCACACTAATACTACCGTATACTAATTACGACACTGTCCTCTTCACGCACAGCTCCACCATCCGCTCTCTCGTATCCGCCCCCCTTTGTAATTGCCTAAGCCTCAACATAGTCTCCAAATACCTGTAGTTGTAGGATCCACATCTTTCATAACTCGAAACGGATCTTCTCCCGCTTCCACCCTCTTTCTATACTCACTACCATCTCTCTCCAGCTCTTCCCACCACACCCGCGTCATCCTATCTCTACAGCAATCACTCGGCATCGTCGTCTTTTCCGTGATCATCGCCTGCACATTCACCTTCTTAATCTCTTCTATCAACCACTGCCTACTTTGTTCTCCGGCTCCCGCCCAAGACTCATGTTTCCAAATGGCATGGCGGGACCAATAAAATGCACGTCGCAAGTCGCAGACTTCTTCGTGGTTTTCGTTGTGTCGTTGACAGATGTAGTTGCTGCGGTGCTGATCTTCTTTGCAAACGCAGATTAGGTAGGATAGAAATGCTCCGACGAGAAAGCTTGAGGTGATGACGGCGAAGATGCTGAGGGGGGAGAGGGCTATGTTTGAGGGAGTGATGGATGGATGAGTGTGTGGTTGTGTGGATTAGGAATTGGTTGGTTTGTGGTGGATAGTATGGAGTTGGGAGATAAATGGGAGATTGAATGGCGAGTGAAAGTTTATGAGATAGATGAAGATGCAGAGAATTGAAAAGGTCTGGAAATTTTCAATTTAAATGAATGGTTGTGTGGGCTTAAGGTATTGGCTAGTGGTAGTTTGATCAGATGATCTCACTATGTTTCTCTAGTAAACACCCATGGGCAATTTCAAGCGAAGTTGGCCATAGTTCTGATGTTAGCTTTAACTTAAAGTTGATTGCTCGCAAGAATGATACGGTGGGGGTTGGGATGGTCCAGCAATGATTATATGGTATGTATATGATTAGAGCAGTATCGCAGCACCTATGAAGCTCAAAAAAGGACACTTGAAGAATATAGAATGAAAAATAAGTTTCAGATCATAAGATATCTTGATTTCGCAGGTTGGAAGTTGGAGACTACCTAGAGTTGAGGCTAGAATTTCTAGTCAATACACGATGATGTGATGATATCAAGAAGCGGGACTGGTAGACTAATCCAAGCTTTCAACTTTTGAAAGAACATCGTTCTTCTAGGATGGCTGCTTGCTGAATGATTGAAATCTTTCGTACATATCTGAAGCTTCTTTTAAGAATCACAATGATTTCATTGTGCTGTCTAGGCCTTGACTAGTGCTGGGTTCTGGATGACAGATCGCTTCAAGAACTTTCTTGAGGTTATTCATCTTTACTTTCAGTGCTACCTGTTTATAATCCCATAAATCTTCTTCACAATTAATGAATCAAATTCAAAAGTACAAGCAAATGAAGATGCAACGGCAATAAAAATACCGATGAATAATAACTGTCGTCGTTCAACTTCATCTTCAGCTCCCAAGATATTACGTACCCTGCACGTGATCATCTCCACAAATTCCCAAACCTCACCTCCTTTTCTTTTTCCCGCCAAATCCGACATGTATCCCAACATCACATTCCATCACCATGCTTCTCTACGTTTTCGCACTGATACCCCTCTACGTGCTCGTATGGGGGCCTCTTTCTCAAATCATCTATGGTCGTCAATCTGCTCTTCATGAACCTCTCAATTTGAACTCTTCACTCATCGCAAGTGATGAACCCCTATTTTGTCCGGAAGATAGTTATAAAACGTTTATTATTAGTCGAGAACCACTTATGATATATATTGAGGGATTTTTGAAGGCGAATGAGAGTAAACATTTGGTGGATGTTAGGTATGGTTTTTTATTTCTTCTGATGAAATGAAAAGAAACTGATGGGATAGTGAACCGCTCTATAAACCGTCTACCGTTTCTCATGGTCAGGAAGTTACGGTTGATACTTCGGTGCGAAATTCTGAAGTAGCAGTACTAGAGAGAGATGAGGTGGTTAGGTGTATTGAGCATAGAGCGAGAGCATTCCAGGGGTGGAGGGGTGAGATGGGGATCGAGAAGTTGAGGACGCAGAGGTATGGGGTTGGGGGTCATTATGGGATGCATTTGTAAGTTTTGGGTGATCAATGGAAGCTTCATTTTTTTCTATCAACATGGACCTTTCAGAAGAGGTATTGTGTACGCGAAGGCTAATGATAGAAATAGCGATTGGAGCGGAGGCAAACGTGGCATAGACCGAATAAGTACTTTCATGGTCTACGTCGATGTATCCTCTGATATCAAAGGTGGAGGAACGGAATTCCCACGTATCGTGGGACCAACAGGAGGAAGGTGGGAGGAGTTCCTCGATACTACCGAAGCGTTAGATCCGAGAAGTGGAAAAAATGTAACAGTAGAAGGAGTGATATTCAAACCTATCAAGGGAAATGCCGTATTCTGGGAAAATACTGACAGGAATGGAAGGGGATATGAGGAAACATGGCATGCTGGTCTACCGGTAGAAAAGGGCTCGAAAGTGGGGTTGAATATTTGGAGTTATGGGAGAACCATTAGATGAAGATGAGGAGAGAAGAGTGAATGAGGAATAACGTGCCTATTTGGTTTGATACTGGCGTATAAAGCACAACCGAAATGGAGTGAATAGATCGGTACATGTGGATTTGTTAGAATCCGTTATGACTCAACCTTAAAGATTGCAACTGTTGTAGGAAATCAGATACGACAGACAAACAAATTTTCTAGTTAAAGATTATCTTGAGGTTCTCAGAATACTATGGCGAAAATCTTCTGATTCTTTTCTTTGTGATTTCATTCACCTTTCGGAAACCTCCTGCTGGCAAATTTTCTGGGGGTTTCTTTTATTTTCAATATAAACTGAGCAGAGCTCGATTTTCAAAAAGTCCTACACGCACAAAAGCCTTAATCGACTGCTCACAAGGGAATTAACATCCAGTATTCCAAGTCTTTTGTGCCAAGCAAACAACGGACAACGCAAACGCATTCACCTACCTAGTTTATTTTCAGGATCGATATTGCAGAGCAAGTGGCACTGATTGTAAGCTCTTATACTATACGGTTCAGACCCAACGATCTATCCAAAGTCTTACAAACTCCGTTGAACTCACATCTACAGCACAGATACACTCCACAAAACTCCACCTACAAAGATGGCAGCCAACGCCTCCGCGCATTCCGATCTCGTAACACTACACACAAACCTCCACACTCTCCTCATCAAACTATCCCTCTCTTTCCATCTCACATCTCCCTCCTATACTCCAACCCCCCAACTCGCCACCTCGCCCTCCAACCGTCTCTCCACCCAGCGTTTCCCACCCCTCAATGATAACTACAACCACAACTACACCTACAAAAACAATCCCCACGACCCCCTCGAAGTCCTCTACACACTCTCTCCTCCATCCTTCCACTATCTTCCCCGCAGCACGCTGCTCCCCCCGCAAATCCTGCGCAAAGGCTTTATCGAAACCCCCGAAAACAATCCTCCGCTGCTCGAAGGCACACGCATGCAAATCATGGTTATACCGCGCGGCGTCCGGAAAATCGTTGTGCATTTCCTAGTGTACGATCCCGTGCTCAAGGAAACGAAAGAACAACCGAAGGTTTCTCCACTTTCTTCTCTGGTTGCGAAGGAGAAGAAGGAAGGCCCTAAGAAGCTGAGGAAGAAGGCAAGTAGAGTTTTGAATCCGCAGGAGAAGATTAGAGATTTTCCGACGAAAAGGAGGTCGACGATTCGGTTTGCTTATGTGGATGTGGATGCGAATGCGAATGGAAAAGCGAGTGGTACTCCGGGAATGAACCAGAACCGGAATTTCGATGGGATGGAAATTGAAGCTATGGGAAAGAGACAGGTGTCAGAAATGGATGTGGAGAGAGAAGAGGATAGAGAGGGGGAATATGTGGTGATGAGACGGGTTGTGAAGTTACCGAGGAGGGTGTGGTGTGGGAGGAATGTGAGTTTTTCTCTTCTTTCCTGATCTTTTTGATTTCGGTTTTGTTTGAGATCTGCAGTTGAAGGGAAGACTTGGGTCTAGAAGTGTACTTCTAGAAATAGAGGAGTGAATACTAATTTTGTGTGTCGATGATTTAGTGTAAGGATCAATTCGAACAGCTGTTTATTAGGAGGACTTGAGATCCATAGTCGACGTGGATACGTATGAGAGTGGATGATACGATACGATGTATGGAAATCGCAGGATTATCTAGGGAATAGATGGCACGTCTTGATGAAGATTGATACAGGGCTTCGTTGTTCGTGTTTTGATATAGGATGGATGGGATGGTGGTAGAACTCCGATGTTACAAAGTAAAGGGGCCAGATGGAGAAGTTATTTTTGATTTGACGAGGAAGGCAAGTTGCAGTAGATAAATATGAGAGTGCCGGATTTCAGATCAGGTTTGGCAATATTTGACCATACATGGTTAGAGTGTGATTTTGAGTTGATTGGGAATTGAGTCATTGGAGCGATCTGAGAGGGAAGATACATGGGATAGAGCAACATTACGAATGAGAAATGGACGATGTATAGATATAAATTAAGAGAGGAAATGCAATGAAATAAAATGGAATGAATCGAGAGTCCTTTATGTGTAAGGGCAAGTCAAGCTTGCTTTTTGTATTGTATTGTGATCCATTGACAATTCCAGATTCTGCAGACTAGCTAGAATTCTTTTGTTCTGTCTTCCTGTTGTACAATTCACACCACGCGGTCTGTATTGAGATCTGCGTCCAATATCTGGAGCGTTTGCAATGTTAAGAGGTATCCTCTGCAATTTACACCCCTCTCTCCCAAAATCAAATGGTAATCAACCTTCCTCACCGTTGACATCAGCCTCATCATCACTAGCATCTAGAACATCCTTTCCTGCACCACGCTGTCTACCAGCAGAAATGCCTGACGCTGTCAGCCACAAGAAGTAATCGCTTCGATGATGATCTAAATGATGAAAGAATGTATGAAATCTGTGCTTTTGTTAGTTTGCCCTTCATATTTTGAAGGATATCACGATAGACTTACTGATTTTCAGCATTCTCCACCCTGAAAATTCTATCATAGATCTCTCTCTGCTTGAACTCATCCATCTTCTCTCTATACTTTTCAAAGTCTATCTTCTCCCTGTCAAAATCCTTCGCAATTTTCTCATTATAATTGTGGAAAACTGGGGCTTCTAATAGTAAACCCAAACTTGGGGCTTTTGGTATACTAATTTTAGCAGCAGTATAAGTTTCCTTGATGAGCTCCATTGGCGAAGCGCATCGTACCACTAATGCTGCCATGGCTACCATTTTTCGAATTTGATGCATCATGAATGATTGACCATGGACTTTTAGTGAAAGCCATTCTGTATCGTGAATGATGATAGGTTGGGCTCCAATCTTGAAAGATTTGATGTGTCTTTTGGAAGAGGCATCTTTAAAGCTTTTGAGAATGGTATAGTTGTGATAATTATGAGTGCCGACATATTGGTTGAGAGCTTCTTGTACTCGTTCTCTACGAGATTCGTGTATGCGATATGCTTTCTTGGCTTTGATGTAGGCTGCTTTTACTTCTTTGACAGCTTTCTCCAGTGGTGTAAGAATCGATTTCGAAATTTCTTGAGCTCCATCTGCTTCTGGCTTGACTTCTTCATCTTGATCAGCTTCATCCTTTGCTTTTGATTCCTCAGCGGTTTTAACGCCTTGCATGGCTTCTGAGTCCTCCGCTTTCGTCTCTCCTGTAACTTCAACTGCTACGGGTTCTTTAAGTACTGATCCGTCACCAGTTTCTGCTTCAGTATTTGTTGCAGGTTCTTCTTGAGTCTGTTCATTGACTTCTTCCTTGATTTCAGAGTCCTCCTTGGCTTCTGCTTTATTCTTCTTGATGTTCTTTCCGATTGGCTCATTGGATTCCTCAGCAGCATGAATAGCTTCCATAACATCCGCTGCTAATTGGGGGTCCAAATTGTCCAGAATGGGTTGTACAAATTCCTTCTCGGCGTCGATCCAAAACGATGCAGCATCTTCTTGAAGTTTATTGTGATTCTCCAAAACGCCTTCTTTCTCAGCGGCCTGAAGCAACTCCTTTCCAAGGAAACTCTTAGGATGAGGTGGGATGAATGAGTAGGTTGGGATTAAGTATTCGTACCACCGTGAATCGCACATTTGGTAGCAATTGAAAGATCCAGTAGTTCTTTCGATACCCCAGACTCGAATTTGATCTGGTAAGTGGGAATTGATGTTTTCAACAACTTTCGGGTCTTCGATGATGAGTTTCAAGGAGAGAACGTTGCCAGCTGCATGGACGCCTTTATCAGTTCGCGCGCATCGAATCAAGGCGGATTTCTTGGGATCATTTGCATTAGCTTTCGAAATCGCACCGGCAGCAACAAAAGCCTTGAACATGTCACCCTCAATCGTCTTCTCCTTGGTATTAATTTGCAAGCCTTTGTATCCTGTTCCTGCATAGCCAATCATGACGGCAACTTTATGTTTTGGTTTTCGTACTTCACTTTCGATTTCCTCCTTGGTGAACTCCGTACTAAATGCTGTTGGCTCTGATTCTCCATTATGTACCGTCTTTCTGCGTTTTGATGCTTGGTCGTCATCGTTCCGATCTCTCTTTGGTTCTTGTCGACTAATTGAAGTTAGAGAGAATAAATTGGAAGGTTTGGAATCCCGACTGACTGATACTCCTTGCGACCCATCTCTGGCTTTCTACCACCTCTGGAACCACCTCTAGAATTTCCTCTGCCGCCTCTGCCAAAACCTCCCCGCCCCCGCCCTCGTCCTCCTCCACCTCGTTGACCTCCGGATTGTGCATTCGCCTCCATGATTGATGTAGTTATTCGAACTTCGGAGATATATGCGAATGTATTTTTCCAAAATTGAAAAATGCGCATAGATCACATACGTGAAGTTGGAAATAAAAACAACCTGATGAAATAGAAATTCAACATGGTCCATGAATATTTCTCCCAATAATTTTTAGTATCTTGGTCCGAGCTTCGACCAATAATTGTACGATGGTTGAATGGGTAAGTCGTGTAAAACGCTAATTGACCCCACATGTAGCTGGGATATCAAAATAAATAGATTTAATTGGTTGATTTAGTCTGTTTTGATGCTGCTTTTAAAAACCTGTTTCGAATTAGTTCTAGAAAGTACCTTTAGGAATTGTTATAAGAAAGCTCGTTTTTTATATTTTCTCCAAAGTGAATACACTGAAAAAAATTTAATATTGGTTCCCTTTTCTCCTAATCTCAACCTTATTGAAAATGTATGGAATTGGATAAAAGAATGAATTTGGAATTACTATTCTATAAGAGAGTGTTGTGAAGCAGTAATTGTAGTAAATGGAATATATACAAGATTTTAATATAACTAAATATACTCAGATATTTCTTTACAATACTTTGGTATGCTAGAGTTCACTATATTAATTTTAAAAGAGCGTAATGTTTTTATTGGTCAGAGCCCTTGTATATGGGGAAAAGCACGGCCGCTTTTTGGTGTGTTTTACAATACTTACCCATTCAACCATCGTATACTTTCATACTATTATCCCTGTAACTTGATATAGCTAAGTGGTGGCTTACATAATTAAAAAAGACACTACTGCAGCTCTACCTCATCTCATTCAGCCTTGCCAATTGAAGCAATCAATATCCATTCACTTTATCTCCTGCAAATAACAATCATATCAAATTTTCATTTAATCAACTCCCTGCCCTTGCGAGCAATACAATACGATACAACGACCGTACCACTCACCCTCAACAGATACAAAGGGATTCAACTCATCCTGTTCATGTCTTCTACTTTATTGTCTTGAGGATACAAAATGATCATGGGCATCCTGGACACCATTTATTGAAAAATATCTCTTTGTCTTTTTTTCGATTCTATCTCTAACGACTCTGCAAAGCCCATCTTTCAAAAACACATTCTACCTCTTTTTGAGACACTCACACACACTCAAGGCCCCGCATCCCCTCTTTCCCAAATACCGGACTTAGATCTCATTCTTCTATTCCCAATCTCTTGATTATCCATTCGCAAATATGGATCTCGCCCAGATGTTGGTGCGCTCTTGTATGCGCTCGTTCTATGACACAAAACATATCCTTGTGATTGATGCGCTCGTCATTCATTCCGCGTATGTATTTCTGTGAGAGTTGCTGGGAGTGGGAAAGGAAAGCTGACATTTCATAGCTTGCGCGATGATGATTTAGCATACCTGATGAGCATAAATACAAAGGAGCTTCATAAGCTTTGTGGAAAGTTGAAGGAGGATCGATTTCTTGCAGTGTATGCCAGGCATTTTACTCTGCATTTTGGAATTTGCTAATTGGATTGTGTAGGCATTCACGTCCAGAGATCAAAGAAGGCCAACAACGACCAATTAATCGAACCTACTATTTCATCGATTATCGTGCAACAATTGATGCGATTAAGTGGAGAGTTTACCAGATAGACAAGGCTGTTCAAGGAAATACTGTGCCAGATGATGAAAGAAAGGAATACTTTTGCCCTCGATGCAAATCAGAATGGACAACTTTTGAAGTTTTGGACAAGAGAAGTTATGAAGGCTTTTTATGTCACAAATGTGATTACCTTCTGGTACACGATCCTGACAATAACCGTGGTGGACATGAACAGTCATCGAAACTCAATGCACAGTTTAAATTTATCACCGACTTACTCCCAAAGATCGATAAGGTGGTCATCCCTGCAAACACCTTCGAACAAGCTCTCTCAACAGCTCGTAAAGTGGTTAGAGATGAAGCTAATCCTGGCAGTGAAACTGCACCTGTTGCTCTTTCATCGGAGCGACCAACTGCTGTTCGTGGTCTGGATAATACTGGACCAACGTCCATCTCAGTTACTTTGACGAACGGAGAAGGACCTACAGCTGCAGATATCGCTGCTGAACAAGCTCGCAAAGAGAAAACAGCTGCTCAAAATGCGTTACCTCAGCATTTCACTCACAGTACTATCACTGGAGAGCAGGTCAAGTTTGGCAACCAACCCACGGCCTCTATTGGCCCAGTTGACACCAATAAGAAGGATATCAAACCTGATACCGAAGGTACTGGTGAAGGGGCTGAAATTGATGATTATTTTGCGCAACTAAAGGCTGCACAAGCCAAAGAACTCGAACAAGAAGCCGACGAAGAGTATGAAACCGACGATGAAGAAGAAGAAGGCTTCGAAGACGTCATTCCAAATGGCACCACATCTGGTGCCGCCACTCCAACTAGCTCCGTTGGAGGCATAGAGACTAAGCCCAGTGTAACGAGTGGTAGTGGTCTCAGTGGTGTCCTAAAGCATTCACGAAATGAAAGTGTTTCAGCGAGTGGAACGAGCACAGGTGCAGGAAGTCCGGTAACAGGACCTAATACACCGAATGAGGATAGACCAACGAAGAGAGTTAGAATTGAGGAGCCTGCTCCAGCAGCACCGGCTATAAAAGATGAAGAGGAGAGTGAAGAGGATATGGAGTTCGAAGACGTTTGATCGCTTAGACCCTAGAAAAAAGGGGCTGGGAAGGGAATGGGAAGGGGAGGGATGTGGATTCTTACATTACATACAATGCCTGCATACATGATTGGATCAACAGACCAATAATAGATAAGCATGCAATAGGGGTGGGTATTTGAGCTATTTTCAAATCTCCAATCTAGAGTGGTAGATTGGACGGATGCATGGCGTTGAGGGTAATTGCTTACACGCTTGTCGTTTTTTTCCTCGTAAAAAAATGATGCATACTGAGGGTGGGCGGAGGTCATTTTTCATTCATCATAGCACATATCCAGACCAAGCCAGATTAGCCATAATACTCGTGAAAAGGTTTGGTCAAAAGTCGTTGGGCTTTCTAGGTTTATAGATGAGTTCGTTCGTTCGCGCGCGTGTGCCTAGTCTTCAAAGCTGTCAGAGACTTGAACGAATTGTAAATTGTATAATTAAACAAATGAAGTCGTTTCTCAGGCTTCTTAATCACTCTCACTTGTGAATTGTGATTATTTCACGACTGGCATGGTATGGAGAGATTATGTTTGCTGATGAAGCGGGTATATTTACTTTAGAAGCTCTACATCTTCAGACTACTATATCTATGTCCTTTATTTTTAATACTCATTTCTCCAATGACCCACCGTAAATGCAGAAGCTCTTTACCATCCCAATAGGTGTTGAAACCCAAAAACACTACCACAGTGCATGCAACACTGCTCCAAAACGCCATTTCCAACCCCGCAACGATGCACCTAGTCCCTTAAACTTTAGTTTGCTTAACCATCCAGCTCAACAAATCAACCTTAGTTACAACTGCGACTGGTTTCGACAATCCATCAGCCTCACTTCCCTTCTCGGTAACAATTGCGGCACTATTCCACTCGAAAAATTTGCTCAAGGCGGAGAGAGGTGTATCGAGTGTGATCTCTACGAATTTGCGCTTTGGAGTAGTTTGCTTCTTGCCATCCATTGTCGTTTCAATACCATTGCTCTTAGGAGGCGAAGAAAGATGACTGATGTCCTTGGGATCGGTGATAACTTCAGGGATGTGGGAGAAATCGAACATGACATCTGAGACTGGGCTTTTTCCGGTGGCACGACCGCGGCTAATCCAACTGAGAAGATTTCCAAGGGTGACAAGACCGACGAGTTTATCGCCCTTTGGAGCGAGGACAGGGAGTTGATCGAAACCCTTTTCACGCATGGTTTCGACGGCTTCAGAACAAGAGGCGTTGGCAAGGACAGATGTGACTGGTTTGAGGCGAAGGGATCGAAGAGTTGCTCCAGAGTATGGATCTTTCTTGGATTGAGCTTTGACGACTGGGGATGCTGGCAAGGAAGACTCTGGGGTAGGAGGAAGGAGGTCGTTGGCGGCCAACCAGTCGTCATCGGCAAATTTGCTGAGGTAACTTCTAATACTATCTGGTAGGATGACTACCACGGTATCACCTTTACCAAGTCCCAAATCACGGACTCCCTTCACCATAGCTGCAATAGCACTACCACTGCTACCTCCTACCAAAAGTCCTTCTTCGGCAATCAATCTACGTGCGTAGGCGAATGATTCACGATCATCTGTCTTGTACCACACATCGACAGAATCTCTATTCAAAACATCAGGAATGAAATCATAACCAATTCCCTCAACTTTGTATGATTCATTGGCGTGTTCTTGGTTAAGACTTTCTGGAACTGCAAGTATGGATCCGTGGGGATCTGCTGCAATGATTTTGACATCCTTGTTGTGTTTCTTTAAACCTTTAGACAATCCAGTAATAGTTCCACCTGTGCCAGCTCCTGCGACAACAGCAGTGACCTTGCCATCAGTTTGCTTCCAGATTTCTTCTGCAGTTCCAAACTCGTGTGCGTTGGGGTTGTTCTCGTTGGCATATTGATCGAGGATGTGGGAGTTTGGAATCTCTTTCAACAATCTTCTTGCCACTCCGATGTGGGATTCGGGGGCATCCCAAGCTGCTTGGGTTGGGGTACGAATAATAGTGGCTCCAAGTGCTCGAAGAACAGCAACCTTTTCAGGTGACATCTTTTCGGGAAGAGTAATGATTGTCTTGTAACCTTTGATAGCTCCGACAAGAGCGAGACCAATACCGCTAGAGAATGATTAGAGATTTATGCCAAAGTGGTATAAAGTAACTTACGTGTTTCCACTGGTTGGCTCAATGAGAGTATCTCCAGGCTTTATTCTTCCAGATTTTTCCGCCTCTTCGATCATACGAAGGGCAATACGATCCTTGATACTTCCGCCAGCGTTGAAGAGTTCGACCTTGGCATAAACTTCGGCTTCGATACCCAAACTCTGTGGGATCTTATTCAATCGTACCAAAGGAGTATTTCCAATCAACTCAGAAGCACTCATTGCAAGAACTGGAGCCCGCACAGGACTAGTAATGGATGCCATGTTGATGACGGTTCTAGATGTTTGAGCTGAAATTTAACAATTTGTCGATGATTCCGAATAGAAACGAGATGAATGAAAGAGGGAATGATGGTGATGAAAGAGAAGAAGTATATGACTATCTTCTTTAGTATTGGTGATTAATGTCGCAATGTGGAAGGAGAATTTGCTATAAAATGTCTGAGTAAAAGCTTGACAATGAATTCTTCATTGTGTTACCCTTCGAGTTTTAGTGAAGGGGAGGGGTCTTTGGTCTGGATAAGCGATAAGGTACTAGGGAGATAAAATTCGTGGCAAAATTTGACCGCAAGTAGCCGTGGAGACCGAAGTATAAACTTTACCTTATGAGGCTTAAAACGGACCTTGGATGTCTGATGTTCGAAGTCAGTTACAAAATGATACCTACATTTATTATCACAATTTGATATGATTTTGGAGGAATTGCATAGAAGTATTTTATTTCATGGTACTTATAGGAAGGGGCATTGTAAAATCGTCGAAATGACATTTACTTGATATCAAATTCAAAATACATTGCATGTCAAAATCTTTATCCCATAGCACAGAATCGGTAGAAACTTACACATGCTAATTATAGAACTTTAAACACCGTGAACGTTGAGATGCAGCGCCCTTCACCGCCTAAGGCCAAAAGTACATAGTTACATTTCCGCCTTCTCTTTCTGTGTTTGGAATCGAATCTCGAATATATTTGGAAGTTTACCATCTATCAATCAATTTTAACCACGTACGATTCGATAAGAATCACTGGATTCGCCCTGCGAAACAGAAATTATACGAAGATCAATAAACAACAACAATAACCCAATCTGCGAGCGCGAACGAACAATATTCATCATGCGCTTCTCCCAAGCTTTAGTCCTTCTGGCATATGCTCCGTTCGCAATTGCATATCCAACATTCTCAGCACCCGCAGCCGCAGCGGTAGAAACAGCTGCAACTCCATTTACTGTTACGTGGGCAGATAATGGAGATGCTCCGGCGATAGCTGACATTACCACTTATCAACTAGATCTCTGCGCAGGATCTAGTACAGGTGAGGATCTTGCAGTGATATACCCCGTAACTGCTTCCGCTACCTTGGGATCAACTGTTTCGACTACTGTCACTGTACCGGCGGCCAGGGGGTCATCGGTGACCAATGCTTAGTAAGTTCCATGAAGCCAGAGTTTAAGAAGCCTTCATGCTGATGATGACGATACAGCTTCATGAGAATGATAGCAACTACAGCGTCAGGGTCTGTTACAGTATATTCGAACAGGTTCTCTATTAGCGGCATGACAGGGACTTTTGGAGGCGTGTACACAATTACTGGCACTGCTGGACCAGCAACTGTCAATAATGTGGCAGACACGGCAGTCGCATCATCATCAGGAACTGCGGACGAGGGCGTTTATGGAATCCCATACCAATCACAAACTGGTCTTACAAGATATGCTCCGATGGGTCTGATGCCTGGTACCACAATAACGGCCACGAACACAGCACCCCAATATCCAAAATCGGATGTTACTCTAGCCACCACGTATTTAAGCCCAGCAACCATCTACACAACTTTGACTCAAGCTCAGACAGCATCCTTTGCAAGTCATCCTAATACGGTAAGTTTCAAGACACAAATTCAACAACGCAAACTTGACGCGGCTAACACTTGAAAGGTTGCTGCTGCATCAATGCCTACAGATGATATGGCAAAGTTCTTGGCTAGATGGAAGGATTGAATCATTACAAAGACAATGAATGATGTATAAATAGGGCATCAAATGAACATGTGAAAAGGAGTTTGGCGTACACTCGAATTGGTATTCGAGGTTTTAGTTTAAATGAATACCGTGTATACCCAACGAATCAAGAATTTACCCAGTCAAGCCATCACTTGGTACTGTGCACCAGGGTCGTTAAGCACCATCTGCAAGATATCTGCATATTGGTATAATCTCAGGGGATAGCGGACAGGTAATTCCGATATTAATCCCAGCGCGGAGGGTCTGATAGGAATGTCTAGATGCGGGGAAATGCTTGCCAATGTTTACTTTTGTCGGATACAACATCCATAGAACGCTATATGTCCCAAATGCAACATGCCCAATATGAGCCAATTTTAAGAAGAGGTAAAGTAAATTGAGAAGCGTATCTGGGTATCTAGGTATCTAGTTCATAAATTAACAAGTCAATCTAAGCCTCCTTCCTACTATTACCTGACGGGTGCGCTTAAGCCACTATGCTGAATACCGTACTTTACTCTATTTGTCATTCTGTAACTGAATAATCTCCCAATGTCAAATTTTGAGAGTCTCGTGGTCTTTCCATTCATCCAGATTTAGTAAGGATGGTTAGGGATTCGTATCGAGCCATTATCGTGGCTCTAGCCTCGTAAACCCCTTATATAATGATAATGCTAGGGAGATATCTGACCATCTCCACGACACGGTAGCATTCACTCAAGATCTTGAGATGAATTGATGTGAGATGTGATTATTATTGGTTGGAGTAAAGTTGGAAGTTGGAAGTGATTGATCTGGATTCCATTCGACTCCGTACGTACAGTGTACTTATTAATCTGATTCTGCAGATGAACCTAACTACCTAGGTATCTATCTTCATCCACTGCGTGGCGTGCGTGCAATGTATGAGCCCCGTTGCTAGACTTGGTCTTCCCCGAGGTTCTCTTACCCTGGTGTTGATCCACGTGCTCCTTGTAGTTTTTTCTTCCTTTTCTTCTTTTTCCGTCCGACCTCTTGGTTCTTATCAGTGGGTAGTGGAGTGGCCGCTTGATGCTAAGAGCTCTAAGCGTCGGCTTATTGCAATTAGTTTCTACTTGGACGATATCTAGTCGCTAGTCACTAGTCACCAGTCACTATCAACTAGCTTGAGGATTGGTGGACGGATGTCCTTGTTGAGACTTTGAGAGGAGCACATTTTCTTTTCGGGTACTCTGCCCTTAGGCGTTGAATACATTGCTCTCCTCTCCGTATGTACCACAATCAGGCTGAATGCTGCTAATGCTACGGATACCACCTACTATTGACGCATAATCCCATGCTACTCATTTTAATTCAATTCAGAGACAATCCAAGGAAAGACAAGGGGATCGATCAGTTGATGTTGTCCGCACAATGCACATGCTTGTGTAACCTTCCTTGTCACTTTCTATACCTACGCATTCCATTCCTCTGCTGTACTAATACCCTTTTCACTTCTGTTCATTTCTCTTCTTAGCGCCGAGGGAAATTCCCAAAAACCCTATAAACTAACCATAAACTGAATCCACTCCCTCTCCACTCAAATATAAGACCATCAATTCCTCCATACACAACCCAATCTCGCCTTCCAACAACAAATTTTGCATATCGTCTGTCACCGAGAACATGCGCTTCTTGGAGCTCTTCCAAGCATCCATTAAGCCTCCCTGGCCCCGGCGTCTTCTTAACACTTGATCTCCTCATCCACGTTCATTTGGATATTTGGTGGAGAAAGATAACAGAAATCGAAAGGTTTAGTCTTTTTACTGTCGGACACAGAGATTTACTTCACAGACAATAAATCTGGAACCATGTCTCCTTTACCTACAGATGGATCCGACTCGACGGCTTTCGTGAATTCGAACCACGGTTCAGATGACCATACTGACCACGAACTACCACCACCACCAAATCCTTCATCCGATGCAGGTCTTACGGTTAATCATTGTGCAAATGATCGTGGAGTTTCACCACCATCTCCAAGTAGCATCGATATATTTACTCTTTCGCCGATAACAGCACTTAAATTGTTATGTGCTGGTATCGAAGCTCTAGTTCAATTTACGGGTGATATCCCTCCCACGCCAGCGTCGGCCGAAACGACGATGCCAAATATGAGGGGCATGCAGGCAGAGAAAGAAAATATACGACGGTCTGGATCGTGGACAAACTTAGCAGGTTTTCGACAACGAGCTTCTGGATCAGATGTTATAGATGGAGTAAATCTTCGTCCGAAACCTCTGGAAACACAGCACACTGTGTCCGCAGAACCATATATTATCGTTGGAGAGAATGCTGAGCCTTTGAATGTTCAACACAGTGCTATCACAAGAAAATTTTATTCGAAGCGTCCTCCTCCGATCTCTTTGGAAGACTATCTGATGCGAATACACACGTTTTGTCCAATGTCAACAGCTGTCTATCTTGCAACAAGTTCCTACATACACAGGGTGGCAGTCGATGAACGAGTCATACCTGTAACAAGGCGAAACTCACATCGACTCATATTAGCTGGGTTACGTGTGGCTATGAAAGCACTCGAGGACCAAAGCTATGCTCATGCACGCTTCTCGAAAGTCGGAGGAGTTAGTGAACAAGAGCTTTCGAGATTGGAAATCAATTTTTGTTTCCTTACAAATTTCGAATTTAAGACGAGTAAAGAAGCTCTTCTACAGCACGCGATAAGTCTAAAGGAACTATCGTCTTTACAGGGGGGAGTGAATTTCGTCCCGAAAATGTCACTCTTGAATAAGGGTAGACCGGGCATGGCTGCACAAGAGACAGTGTTAGAAGTAACAGCGGATGCTTAGATGTACGTTGTGCATAGCCTAAATATGATACAGGCGATATTGGAGAGTAGGAAAGTGTCCGAGTCGAGACGTACACGGCTCCTGAACGTGAGTCATGAGCAAGGCATGGCATGGAACAGGTTACGGATGAAAGAACTGAAGCAGATTGCGTATACGATTTGGCCTCGTTACCATAGATAACAAAGTTGAGATGATCAGGCGCCACAACATGGATATGAGAGGCAGCATTGGAAGCGTTTGATGGTTGCGGCCTGAATCACGATTGTTGGATGGTATACATTGCTCCAAATCGTGTGAATGGGCAATAGGATTGCTCGATAATTTGATAGTGTAGTTTCATTTCTAGCAGCAGGTACACTGTCAATGTGTTTGAAATACTGATATTGGATGATTGGAGATCCAGAATTTAATGATATCCGGAATACATACAATAGTCTAATTCGATTCTTACTTTCATTTAGATGCATTCTCTTGAGATCTTCACATGCATAAACTCCTTTTTTAGTATCGATTTTTAAGAAATAAAACTGCCAAGCTTAAAATCGATAGCTATCTAGTAATGAGGTCGAATTTCCAAAATTTAGCCCAACCGTTAGCCCCTCACCGAGGCAAGCTGCGATTTTCATCAGCAACGCTTAGAAACGGCCATGGCCATGTTCCGCTTGTCAAATACCCCGCGATTCACACCACGTTGTCCGAATAGACGACAAAGAATAGCATGGGCAGCACAGGTACAATTTTATTCTTCCAGAGCTAGTATTTCTCAAACGACATCTTCCATATTAATTCAACCGAAGTTTATATCTCAAAGCTGGAGCAAATACGGTTTGGATAGAACTCGAATTGCCGGTGATACATCTCAGATAAGAATTAATCCGAGGATAATTCATCGCAATATGGCTTCATCTACGGATGCGATTTTGAAGGGGAAATATCCGGCCAAAGAACATGTGAGGAAGGTCGTGGAATATATTAAGAGTAAGGAGCCGGGGGCAGAGGGAGTCTTGTATTTGGAGGCGCAGAAGACGATTATGATTGAGGATAATGACGAGGCTGCTCCTTTCAGGTACGTTGCTGGGAGAAATGCTAGATATTGCACGCGGCATATATTAAAGATCTTGGTAATCCAGAAACGGCTCATACTAACAATTCAATTTCCAGACAACGACGCTTTTTCTACTATCTCACCGGCTGCGATCTCCCTGACGCTTACTTTACCTATGATATCGCGAAAGACAAAAGTACCCTCTTCATTCCACCAATCGACCCGGAATCAGTCATCTGGACTGGTCTCCCTCTTTCTCCCGAAGAAGCACTCGCCCGTTATGACGTCGATGAAGTCCTCACGACCGATATCATAAACGCGCAATTGGCCCTCCCAAATCAAACAAAGGTCTGGGCTATCGCGCCCCAGATTTCCACCCACATAACCTTCCTCGAATTTCCCCAGAAAGATTTCACGCTTCTCAAGGAAGCTATTGAAGAAGCCCGTGTACGCAAATCAGAGTATGAAATTGCGTTGATGAGAAAGGCGAATGAGATTTCAGAAGTGGGACACACGGCAGTCTTGAAGGCAGTCAAACATGCAAAGAATGAAAGAGAATTGGAAGCGCTCTTTATTAAAGAGAGCATTGCGAATGGTGCGAGAGAACAAGCTTATCACAGTATCGTGGCTAGTGGTACTGCAGCTGCTACATTGCATTATATGAAGAATTCAGAGGACCTGGAGGGAAAATTGAATTTGCTTTTGGATGCTGGAGGAGAGTATCAATGTTATGCTTCGGATATTGTAAGATTTTCCCCCATACTCTGGATTGAAGTTTCTCGTAGATTTTTGACAGATATGCTAATCATCCTGACAGACAAGAACCTTTCCCATAAACGGTCACTTCACACCCGAATCTCGCTCCATCTACGATATAGTACTCTCCATGCAATCGCAATGTACTTCCATGCTCAAAGCCGGCGTTTCCTGGGATGAAGTGCATCTCCTTGCCCACAAAGTCGCAATCGATGGACTTCTCTCCTTGGGAATCTTGAAAGGTGATAAGGAAGCGATTTTGAAAGCAAGAACAAGTGTAGCGTTCTTCCCGCACGGATTGGGTCATTATCTCGGAATGGATACGCATGATACTGGTGGGCATCCAAATTATGAAGATAAGGATAGGTTGTTCAGGTATTTGAGAGTCAGGGGAAATTTGCCAGAGGGGAGTGTGGTCACTGTTGAGCCGGGTGTATGTTTTTTTTTCTCTTATGTCGTTCCTTGCGTCTCCTTCTCCTCGTTTGTTCTTCTGGGCTTTGTGACTAATACAAAGATATCAGATTTATTTCTGTCGCTTCATCATCGAACCATATCTTAAAGATCCGGCACATGCTCAATACATCAACTCGGATGTTTTGGAGAAGTACTGGGAAGTTGGAGGTAGGTTTCTCTTCTCTCTCTCCTGTCTTCCCTATTTGAATGCAGAAAAAACTAACGAACAAAACAGGTGTCAGAATTGAAGATAACATTCTGATCACGAAAGATGGTTATGATAATTTAACGACGGTGGTTAAGGATGTGGAGGAGATGGAAAAGATTATTAATGGGTCTTAGTTGGAGAATTGGCGAGATAGGGGAGGGAGTGCTTCTTGATATGTGAGGTTTAGACTATGAGCATTTTGGGAAATGTTGAAAAATGTGAAAATCGTGGTGGATTGAGAACGTGCTTGGTCGTTGATAATCTAGATCATTCAGACTATGATTTCTGGATAATTTGTTGATTTATTACATGAACCATTCAATGAATAGATGAACGAACGATTAAAGATCAATCTCCAATCCTCTGGCATTTCTCGATACCTATATCAGATATCTAAGTAAACTTTCAACATCAAATCTTCTCCCTCCCGCTAGACAATTCCTGTGATGTAATTTGATCTAATTTGATTTGATTTATTAGTTGATACACAAAAAAGCTCATACTATCTATCTATCTACCTGCCTCTAGGTATACCTATATCGTTTCTTTCTCTCTTACCTACCTCAGAGGTCTCGCGTAATATCAATTTCCTCTCCTCTCATGAACCTTTTACTCATCTACTTTTATTTTTGTAGACTTTGACCTCATTCACTCTCCTCTCACTTCACCTCTCCTCTCACTTCACCTCTTAAATTATCAGTTAATAATTGACAACTAAATACTCAATCCATTAGACATTGTAAAATAACATAATATAAATCTGATTCTACCCTATCTGTTTGTCTGTTTATTTATTTTATTTTAGTTTATTTTATTTTAGCTTATACCTACTCCTATTTCATTCATTCATATTCCATTCCATCCCATGTCATTTTACTTGTTCTTATCTCATCCCATCTCATACCATCTCATCCTAATAATAACCCATTCTTTACTTCACCGATGTGAATTGATTGATTCACTATCAATATCACTCCTACCCGACTATTCTACTCTTATTAAACCTTATATTATTAGATCAAAGTTCCACTCGAGTAGTTAGATATTCCAAAAAACATCCATCCATTCACTCACTCCAGTTTCGCGTAATCTCGTTTCTGTCTTTGAAAAGCATATTCACAATAACACAACATCCCTTCGATGGATATTTTAACAAATGTCATAATTTCATCAATAAGCACCCCCAAGATCATGCACGCATATCTAATCTACTACCGCAGAGTCCAATGTAAGCCTGTAACCCATCAAATTTTACCTCCTCCGAATCGTCATATCCCCATTCGATCACCAGCTATGCGCCCTCCTAACAACCAGGCACAACAACCGCATCAATCACCGCGGTGGTACCCCCCTTAACACTTTCCACAGCCTTCAGTAAGACCTTCTCGATCTCACTAGCTTTCGAAATCTTTTCGGCCATTATGCTGTTTCCAGATGCGGCTCGAGCGATTCCCGCGTAATCTGGGACTTGTGGTGCGAATGATATGTTCAATTCTTCGTTAGTGGCTTTGGATCCGATACCTAATATTTTGTTAGAGAAGTGTCATGAATGAGATTTTGATGTTAATTATGAGAAGTAGAAGAAGAACATACCATCGGGGTGAACTAGCATGAGAGATCGTTTTGGTGCGTGCCAACCTGTGCCATCGTTAGTAACTGCAATCAGAATTTTCGTATACTCCATCAACAGAAACATACCCTTGTTATTCAAAACAATGGTTAGAACTGGAATGCCATATCTTTGACAAATCCAATAAACACTTCCTGGAACCGAGAATAAAAATGTTCCGTCTCCAACAATCTGGACGACAAACTTTCCCTTTCCTTTCCCATTCTCAATCTCAGATGCTAATTTAATACCTAAAGCTCCGCCACCAGACCATCCTAATCCTCCTCCTCCACAGTTGATCCAAGAACCGGGGAGAGTAGCTTGAATATTGTCTGCTACGAATACGGTGTTGGTTACGGCTTCGATAGCGAAGATTGTGTCAGTAGGTACGATCTTGCGTAGTTGTTGACAGAGGTAACCGGTGCCGAAGGAATCATCTTCAAAGACTTTTGATGAAGCAGCGTTTATAGTCTTAAGGCGCTTGGTGTGATCTGTAGCGAGAGCCTCCCATCGATCCGTGTATGGCGAGGAGGAAAGTTTGTTGGCAAAGTCACTAGCATTTTTTATGTATTTTGTGAGTTGGCTTATGGATGTGTAACTATCAGCTCTGTAACGAGAAAGCGCGGCGAGATAAAATACCTGAAATAATTTAGTGGGATTCTTCATAAGAGATGTTTGCATAGAATGAAACTAGCGGGACTTACTGGCATTTGTTGTTTGAGTGGGTCAACATCGATATGGAATATCTTGGCTGATTTTGAAGGATGACATAAAGTGTTAACCCAGGGTACATCTGCATGAAAGTATGTTAGTCTTCATAAATCGTTGTTGTTGAAAGGTTGAGTATATACCGCAGTCAATGACAACAATGACGTCGGCAGTTTCAATGGCCTTGTCACTGCCGTATCTCAATCCCAGCCAAGCACGATGATCAGCTGGAAAGCACATATCACTTCCACCAGTATCCAGAACACGAAGACCTTTAACTGTATCCGCCAATTCGACAAGAGCTCCTACTGCCTTATGATTTCGACCACTATAGCCAGTGATAATCAATGGCTCCTTTGCATTGACCAATGCTTCAGAAATCGTAGCAACTGAACTCTCAGAAAGTGCAGCTGGCTCCACTGCATTCCAATGTTCCTGAACCAGATCATAATCATCAATTTCCTCTTCCATGACTTCTCTTGCTGAATACAGATATACTGGTCCAGCAGGAGCACTAGTAGCCCATTGAAGAGCCCTATTAACCATTTGTTTAATATTCTTCCCCGTCTTAATCTCCATTGAGTATCGACAATATTGTCTGACAATCTCAGCTTGGTTGGGTACATCTTGAATCCAATGGATATATTCTGTTCGCGATCCGCGCATTTCTCCTTCAATTGTGTAGGGAGATAGACCGGCAAATATAAGAACGGGTGCCCGTCCGCATGAGGCATTATGAACCGCTGCTCCCAATCCTTGGGTTCCTACATCGACGTGTACGATTACACATTGTGGTTTGCCGGTTAGACGGGCATATCCATCGGCCATGGAGAGGGCTACCATCTATGGAAGATATGAGTACATTTCAAAAGTGGGAAGAGAATCTGCGTGCATACTTCGTTTGGACATGTCTGGAAAGTGTCATTAATTTATGATCATGCAAATGTGATCGAGAGAATGATCAATTGAGATATCTGAAGACTTACTATAACTTCTGGACCCTTGTTCTCCCTTTTAAGCGTAATCAAAGCTTCTAGAATAGAAGGATGATCCGATCCTAAGTTAACGAAGCAATGAGTTACCCCGGCCTAACACATTGTTAGATTGTCTTTTTGCATATGAAGTTTTGGGATAATAAGATAAGGGTGGTTAGTTACCTCAACAAGGGCCTCAAAGAAGGCGTACGAAGCAGTAACCATGTTTAATATCTTGATATTCTTGGTGTTGTGATGATCTGGAGAAGGGGTGATGTGTATTTGGTTTCTCAAGGAGTGTGGAAGTACAAACAGATATGCGGGATGTATGATAATAATAAGCTAGAAAAGCTCGGGAAGCTAGGTTATGAGAGGGGTAGTTTCGGCTTACCAAAACAGTTAGATCCGGGGTACTTCATAGCGTCGACCTTCCTTATTTGTCGATAGCGAACTCTACGGTCTCTTTGAATTAGTCAAATATATAGATAGTCTTATGTAATTGACTTGATTTACATATTCTATATCTGTCTAACAAAGTGGCCTGAGAACGTTCAGATAGATAGACTGAATTCTAGGGACCAAATTCAATCAATTCACCATATTAGAAACAATAGCTCAATCGGTGTACTAGGTATTCCTTCCATTCTTTCCACCACATGCCCTTATGCCGCTATTTATCTCTTGTCTCGTTCCGCTCATACCACATGGCACAATTTCGTGTTTGCGGGGTAGTTTCAGGGTGTGTTGGCTCCTTGGCTTAGAATCAATAGATTGGATCACAGACTTTCAGTGCCTGGGATTGCATTCAATTTGTTGAGTCATCAACCGACCAGCCCTGTAAATGATGATGTCCTCAATTGTATGATGGAAGTACCTAGGCAGGAGCATTATATTACGACTCTGCATTCGTCTGGCAGAAGATATGTTGGCTTGAAAGCAAGATTCAAGCAAGGGGCATTGAAGACAAGTAACGATATATCTGGATATATCTGGACGTAAGTGGAGTAAATGTTGTCTAAGATTGGTAATTAAATGTATGTACAGTATGCTAAAGTCTAGAGGTATAACTCATACTTATAGGAAATCTTCTTTTCATTCCAAAACATGGCCGAAGTGTAATCGTTACAGACAGGGTGCAATAAATCCAAAATTATATTTGTGTGGGGCTTCGAAAGCACCATGAATATGCAAAACGCTTTCTATCCATTCTATCCGAATTTCTCCCTTCAATTACGCTTCGTTTCCCCCGCCGCCACTATATTAACTCACAACGTCTGGAAAGCAGCATTGGCTCTATACTCTTCATTTCTGGCCACCAATTCGTCGTGACTTCCTTGGTCCACGCAGATACCGCCGTCAATTGCGAAAATCGTCGACGCCTTCTTGATAGTTCTCAATCTATGCGCAATAGCGATGACAGTAACGCCCTTTGCCGTCTTTTCCAGAGCCTCCTCAAACAACTTCTCAGACTCAGCATCAAGAGCCGAAGTCGACTCATCAAGGAGCAGTAAGCGTGGCTTTCTGAGTAATGCACGAGCAATAGAGAGACGTTGTAATTGACCGCTTGAAAACTGTCCACCGTTGGAACCACAGGGCGTTTCGTATCCCTCAGGAAGAGAAACGATGGTATCGTGGATATTTGCCAATTTGCATGCAGATTCAATCTCTTCCATGGTTGGGGAGTGTCCGACACGAGCGCCAAGTTCGAGATTAAAGCGGACGGTGCCATCAAATAGGACACTTTCTTGAGGAACGAGTGCAATATCATCGCGAAACGCGACGCCGTCAATCTTGGAAACGTCTTGACCATCAATTTCGACACTGCCAGATGCTGGGGAGTAGAAACGTTCAAGGAGGGCAATGATGGTTGATTTCCCGGCTCCAGAACGACCAACAAGAGCACAGAATGTACCGGGAGTAATGTTGATAGTGAGACCTTTGAGAACCTCGATGTCCGGACGAGCGGGGTAGGAGAAACGAACATTGTTGAAGCGTACGGCAAGACCGCCTGATCTGATGGGTTGTTTCTCGATCATTCCTTGAGATGCTTCTGGATCATTTGTTGCTCGGCTGTTCTTAGATTCAAGGAGATTCTCAGGACCGATATCTATCAAATCAAGAACTCGTGCAGCGGATACGCCGGCTTTTGAGATATCAGGAGCGAGGGAGAACATTTGCCCACATAGTTGAGCACTGAAGAGAAGAGCAGGTAGGACCGTGAAGAACTGTTGTTGATTGTAACGTCCTTCTGCAACATTTCGAGCGCCCCACCAGTATGCTAGTGCATAAACGAAGTTACTCATACTGTAAGCCATAGCGAGCCAGAAATTTCCATATGCAATTGTCTTTAGGGTTGCAGTATAAGGAGCTTTCAGCGATCTATTGAAAACTTGAACAGTCTCTTCTTCGAGTGAAAAGATTGCAACTGTCTTGATGGCCGAAACAGCCTCGGTAGCAATAGCAACGGAGTTAGAGAAAGCTTTTGCGTGCCTTTCGTGGAACTTTGCGAGAATTTTCAATCTCAAGAAACCAGACGAAAGTAGGATGGGGATAGTGGCAAGTAATACAACAGCGATTCTCCACGCAACGGCGTGTGCGAGGATGATTCCAGAAACCATGGAAACGATAATCGACAGCATAACTCCGAGAAGGGTTCCAGTAATACCACTCAATGCGTTTGCATCGGCGCTGATATACGAAATAAGTGTACCCGGGCTTCTATTTTCAGATTCATGCCATTGAATGTCTTGTGCAAAGAGAGACTTGAGCGCCAAAACACGGACACGATAAAGGAGCTTCTCAGAAACACGACCGAAAGAAGATGCGCTGATGACGTTGGCGAAAAATTCAGCCAAAGCCAAAACGAAGAACAACAATCCGTACAAACTTCCGTTACTACGAATGCTGGCTGGGCTGCGACATGGACTTAAACAGCTGACTGTATGACCGAAAATCACAGCTTCTCCGGAATATGAGCCACCAACTACAACAGCGCCGGCAATACCCAAGAATACAAATAGTAAATGAGGTCTAGCCATCGACATAATACCGAAGAACGTAGAGAGGAATGATCGGCCTTTAGTTGCAGACTTATCCTTCTTGGGCGAGAGTGTTTCGTCAGAATCGCTGTTTTCAGCAACTGGCGTAGATTTGCCGGTATTGTCCAATGACTTGACCTTTGCAAATTCCTATGTCGATTAGTATGAATTAAGAATATGTATGCGAGCGAGCCACTTACGTTGTTATCAATCTTTTCTTGCAAATACTCTTCATCTTCATTGGCATCCTCGGTTTGAATCTCAGATATTGGTTCGTCAGAAGAAGCAAGTGTCTGAAGTCGGACAAGGTTTGCAAAAGCGCCGTCTCGAGCAAGTAAATCAGTATATGTGCCCTGCTCAAGAATCTCACCCTGACTCATGACCACAATGTTATCGGCGTTCTTAATTGTTGACAGTCTGTGGGCAATAGAGATGGTGGTTCTTCCTTCACTAACTCGTTCCAATGCCATTTGAATTAAATGCTCACTTGCCGAATCCAGAGATGCGGTAGCTTCGTCGAGGAGTAAGATAGATGGGCGGCGAACTATAGCACGGGCTAATGCAACACGTTGTTTTTGACCACCACTGAGTCGATTACCTCCAGGACCAGCTTCTGTAGACATGCCATATTGCAAGCGATCAATAAATCCAAGAGCATCGGCTTCAGTCGCTGCTTCTCTCACAAGTCTAACAATTGTTTGAACCTTGGCTGAGCTAGCGGCGAAGGCCTCCTCAGGATTGGCACCTTCACGAATAGCGTGAGCAAGATCTGGTAAGCTTGAGTCTAAGAGTGTCTCTCTGAGTTCAATATGTTCAGGAAGCGGTGAATTGACTAAACCATAGGCGATATTTTCGAGAATTGATCGATCAAGAAGAGTCGAATTTTGAGCGACAGTTCCAATGAAACTTCTCGCACACTTGACATTGATGGTCTTCATGTTATGTTCACCAATGAAAATATCACCGCGGATAGGGTCGTAAAGACGTTGAACTAATGCTGCGACAGTGGACTTTCCGCTACCAGAGAGACCGACGAGTGCGGTATGTTTGTTGGTTGGGATTCTCAACCTGAATGACTTAAGAACCACCACCTCAGGTCGCGATGGGTATGCAAACCCCACATCCTTGAATTCCAGGTCTCCTGGGATTGTAGTGAAGGTTTGGCCTTCCGTTGTGGTGGTTCCATCGATCAAGGAGGGCTTGTTGATCGTCGCGACCAACTTGATAAATGCACTACTAGCTGCGGCAAATATTTGCATGAAAGGAGCGATTTGACTGACAATGAAAGATGCTGCATATTATTAGTACGAGTCTAGACAATGATTATGAATAACTTACAATCAACAAGGAGGAAGATGACGGTATATACAGCCCCTACTGTGGTTCCGGATCCACTGTCAACAGAGGCAGCAATTTCTCTACTTCCTTGCCAGAAAGCAAGAGCATTGGCAGAGTAAGCAATGAAGTACAAACAACCAAGCTGGACGGATGCGACAATAGCTTTCATGATTCCCTCTCTTTGTGCCGCACCAATGTGGCGAGCGTACACAGCTTCCAAGCGAGAACTGGCACCCATAGCTTGGACCAAAGACATATTTGATAGTCCCGCGGAAGCAATAGCTGTCGCTGCTGCTACGTGGTCTGACATTCGGCTTGCATACTTTTGAGTGAAGTGTCCTCCCACCAATGCCATCAAAAGATAGGCTGGAACCAAAGATATGAGCATACCTGCCAGTTTTGCACTCTTGATGAAAGAAACGATATATGAGGCGACAAAGTAGGAGATACTGGCGATAAAGATTCCGACTTTCTCAGAAGTTCCTGTTTGAATGGTTTGAAGATCGACATCGAGGCGGGAGGCCACTTCACCGGATGGCAATGTATCGAAGAATGCGACTTCTTGACGTAGAAGGACATCCAGATATCTCATTCGCAGGCGTCTAACAAGACGCTCACCGAGAAGACTCCAACATCCAGTATGAATATAGATCAAACAGAAATTCGCGATTGTCACGTAAATGACGTCTAACACTTTGGTCACAACGCTATCTGTAAGTGATGCTGAACTAGTCGAGGAAGTACTACAAGATGTTGAATTGAGATCGTCTACCAGTTGGCCAAATAAGATACCCAGTAGAGGGAATGGAACCCCAGAAGCGATCGAGGTGATGAATCCAACCACAAGCA